ATTCTATGATTCTATGATCTGGGGGCTCCTTCTTTTTCCAAAGTGCTGACTCAACTCTCTCCAATACAGTCAGGACTGGCTCTGTCTTCTGTTCAAGCAAAAATGCTCATCCCTCTATGGTCCTCAAGTGAAAGGCAAGAGTGGAAAGAGCTGCTGAGGTTCTAGCTCACCCTCAGTGTCAAACTGTTTGACTGCAGTTCTGTGTACACTTTAATTGTCCTAAAACTCCAGGTGCTAGTCCCTGGCAAAGGGGGGCTCTGTGCCAGGCAGAGGGAGGCACGCTGGGAACACCAGTGATGAGGCAGAAAGCAGAAGCTCTCTCCACACACCAGCTAGGCTACATGTCAGTTGTGGAGTGTCTGGCTTAATCCTTTTTCCATGTGCTGTAGAAAAGTGGAAAAGTTTCTCATTTAAAAGCTTATATTTTTCCTTGCTGTCTTAAAAAGCCACTGGACTACTTAACACTTCCTCTCCATTTCTCTACCAGTCCAATCTAGGTTTCACAATGATTCACAGTTCACCCAGTGCTACCATGGCACAATTTGCCAAAAACATTTCCTCCCTCACCTTTTTTTTTTTTTTTGGTGGCTCTTTGTTCTGGTTTTGCTAGGATGGAGTTAATTTTCTTCTTAGTAGCTAGAAAGCACTGTGTTTGGGTTTCAGTGTGGGATTTGTTATGAGAAGAATGTTGATAATACTCTGATGTTTTTAGTTCCTACTGGAAGACAAAGGACATTTCCAACTTCCCTGCATTTTGCTAGTCTGCAGGTGCAAAGGTCTCGGGGGGAGCGCAGTAAGTAGAAAATCCAAACTGACATTGGGATATGCCAATGGGATATTCCATATCATATAAGTTAATGTTCAGTATATAACAAGGGTTGCCCAGAAAGCTAGGGGTTCTCCCAGAGATCACTTGGGCTTTCTCAGTCTTCCATGATTTTGGTTTCAGTTCCAGGATAGTCTTGGCTCTGAGATCACTAGCTGGGGACAGGCTGGGGATCAGTTCGTGGGTGGTGAGCAACTGCACTGGGCATCACTCATTTGTATATTCTATTATTACTGTTATTATCACTATTATTTGAGTTATTATTTTATTTCAATTATTAAATTGTTTTTATCTCAACCCATGAGTTTTCTCACTTTTACCCTTCTGATTCTATCCCCCATCCCATCAGGGGAGGGTGAGCGAGCAGCTGTGTGGTGTTTGGCTGCTGGCCAGGCTAAAACCACCACACTGGTGAAAAGCACAGTTCCCTGTAGGCAAAATATTGGAAGCTGAAGGAGATGCTGAGAACATGACTGAACTTCCAGGAGATATTGTGCTATTTGCAGGTGACACACTCTAACTGCTGTGTAGGACACTGTTCTTTACACTGAGCAAGTCTCTGTACTCACAGGAATGTAGTTGGCATTAATGTAGTCAGATCCCTCTTCTTCATTCATTGAAACTAACCGTACACGACTAAAATCATCTGTGAAAAGAAAAAAAAATAATTCGGCTCTCAAACACAGCACTTATCTCCAACTAGTAATCCTATAAAAACTGAAAAAAAAAAAAATATATTAAAAAAATAGATAAAGCTCACATTAAAAACAGAGAGCAATGTTTGCTTCAGTAAACACTACATGGATGCACCATCATTACTGTTCTGCAAAACACACTCTCCAACTGCTGTCCCTTTGGGCTCCCTTAGGTTTCATTAAAATCAGAAGAAAAATATAGTAACACTACTCAGTAGTAGAAAGGACCTTGTGTTTCTCACCAGCAAACTCCAATCTTGATAAACATCCCCAGAAAGCTATGTCTCTTCAAAGCTAACAAAAACCATCTATTGCCTGGTTCTTTCTAAGGGTGGGTTTTAGAATAGGCTTTTATGAGTCAGAAAATCTGTCCTGATTCTCCAGTTCCCTTATTAAAACTCTTCTTTCCTTCTTGAGGGACTTTATCAGAAACCTGTATGTATTGTACTTACATGGCAGGATATTTGTGTAGCGATTTTTACAGCGATTCATGGGAAGATCAGCAGCAAAATGGGGTATGTCAAGCCCAATCAGTTTTAGCTCCTGAGGTAACAGAAAGAAAAATGACAAGGTCAAAGTCACAAACACTCAAAAAATAATTATTTATGAAGTGATTACCTGTGGCAGGTACCAAACTGGAAAAAAACCCCCATAAATCACTTCATAAACTGACAGCAGGACTACGCTGACTTTCCTGTTCAGATGCCTCTGAGTTTGGCTCAAAGCAGCTCCAGAGCAACAATGTGGTCACTTCTGCTGATCCTGCCAACCAAGGCTGTGACTGTGGACTGCTCCTCTACTTGCACTTAATTAGCCAAAACAGTGTCAAACCAGTGGTTTGATAAGTTATCTCTGTGGTTGTCATCAACCCCACTTAAAGGGCTTTCTTCAAGTCCTCAAGTGGCTTTTGATCTTGATATTTGGGAAATGCTTGGAAGAGCTTTCTAGTCGAAACCTTCAGTAGCTACATCTAATATAATAGAATCACAGAATCATTTAGGTTGGAAAAGGCCTCTAAGATCATCAAGTCCAACCATCAATGACCAAATGATGTAAATAATCACCATATGATGCATCAGAGGACTTTTCACTGGCAGGAATGGAACATGACAGCCACCCAGAATGGTGGTAACACCCTGACACTCCTCCCCACACCCCTTCCATGTTTAATTTTTTGGGAGCTAGCTCTAGGATAGGAGCTTTTATCTTTTCTACTACTACACTGACTTTAAATTCTGGATAATTAAAAGAATGTACATGAGCTGGCCTGAGAGAGACCTCCTTACTCTTAGAGAGATTTCTGATGTTACCTTCTCATTCCAATGCTTTCCCTCAAATTAAGGACATTAAATTAAATAGAATCATAGAATGGTTTGAGTTGGAAGGGACCTTAAAGCTCATACAGTCCCAACCCCCATGTCATCAGCAGGGACACCTTCCACTAGAACAGGTTGCTCAAAGCCTCATCCAGCCTGGCCGCGAATGCTTCCAGGGAAGAGCAGCCACAGCTTCTCTGGGCAACCTGGGCCAGTGTCTCACCACCTTCACGTGAAGAACTTCTTCCTAATATGTAATCTAAACCTCCCCTCTTTCAGCTTAAATCCCTTTCCCCTTGTTTTGTCATTAACTGCCCTTATGAAAAGTCCCTCCACAGCTTTCCTGGAGCCCCTTCAGGTACTGGGAGGCCACTATAAGATCTCCCTGGAGCCTTCTCTTCTCCAGGCTGAACAGCCCCAACTCTCTCAGCCTGTCCTCACAGCAGAGCTGCTCCAGCCCTCAGATCATCCTCGTGGCTTCCTCTGGACTTGTTCTAGCTGCCCCATGTCTCTCTTGTGTTGGGGATAAATAAAATAAACACATTAAAATTCTGAATTCAATTTAGGTTGCCAGCATGTCCTAAACTTAAAGGAAACCTCACAGTCTTATCTTGGACTGGCTGTGATGAGCCACTCAAGTAAGCTTACTAAACACAGGCTAAATGACACCAAGGGCCACTTTTAAATTCTGCAGAACTGGAAGTGAAGCTGACCCACCTAGCAACAGTGCACATTAAACAACACAAAGCACAGGAACACACCACACAAAGCTAACATCTAGAAAAAGCTGATCTAGCCAGAGCAACTAGGAGAAGACAGAGTCCTCATAGATTTACCTCAAATTGCAGAGAAAATTTATAATCTGAATCTTTGGCCATATCCTTGATGTAGCCATCAAAATCATCCAACTGGACAGGGCTTTAAAGAAAAAACACACAGAAATTAAGAAAAAAAAATCATTAACTTTTAGCTTACTACATTGTATTTCTATTTCCCTCCACGATATTATCAATTCAAGGCACAGGTGGCACCATCATAAGCAGTGATCCAGCACCCCATTGCAGACCCACTCCCAGTACCATGCCACCAGCGTGCTTCCAGCACCAGTACAGCTGCTGCTTCATTTAAGTTGCCTCTTGTGCCATATAAAAAGTTGCTTTCAGATATTTTCACATCTGGCATAGACAATTTTAAAACTCTGATGAGCTTTGCTCATGCAGAAAAATGGATTTCATATTTAGGGTTTGATTTTTGGGGTTTTTTTAGAAGGGCCACAAAAAAAAAAAATCCCTTAAAATAGCATTTTGGATGCCACTGCCATGACTGTTTTCTCTGCTGGTTTTGAGAACTATACACGTTTGTCATTAGAGGTCCAGTTCTCCTCCCAGAGATATGGTGGCTAAAAAAAGTGGCATACAACTATACAAAACCATGCAGAGTTTCAGCAGGTATAAATTGTCTTGATTTAGTGACTTCCATCTTTCTACACACTTATTCACCAAGTGAGGGTCTATCTGCTAGTACAGGCGCAGCCTCTGAACGTAACAGAGAAATAATTAGGCTAACACTGAATAACGAAACACAGGTAAACAGCTTCCCTCACCTAATTATCATGCTCTAATTTACAAGCTACTGAAGCATGTACACAGTAATCTCTTCATTTACTCTGAGGCAATATGCCCAAAGGAACCCGTTTTATCACCACTTAATTACTCCTGTTTACCCGTTAGCATTAATGATCTAATGTTCTAGCAACAACTGTAATGAGAGCCTCATGTCAAGAGGGAAATATCACTAGAAACAACGCGGCCCAGTTTTTCACCATTTGTAATTTTTAACTAAGGATAAGTTCTGCTGGAATCACTAAGTTGGATAATTGATCTTTTCCCCAATGACTAATTTTCTACCAGTAAGGAGCTATTTTACCACAACCTCTCTGTTAAGAAGAATTGCTTTTGTCCAATTATTTTTTGTTTTCTGCCTTCAGACATGTCTCTCAGGATGTGTTTACCAAGAAGTTTTCTATATCTGTAATTGCAATATACCATCCATAATTCATGTTTAGTCTAAAATGATATATTTTTATATTACTTTAAATATCAAAGAAGTTACATACTTGGTCAGCTTTCTCTTCTTTAATCCATTTTTACTCCTGTAAAAAAATAAGAAGTGTTTTTCATCCATTAAGCTATTGTGTAGTCTATATTCAAAGCTAGTACTCATTTAAGAACATACGTTTTCTGGTCACCATTATACTCAGGGTAAGATTGGTGACAATATCTTGGATATTTTTAAGCTCATAGAACCATAGTGGTTGGAAAAGACCTGTAAGATCATCAAGTCCAACCATGAACCTCACACTACCAATTCCACCTCTAACCCATGTCCCTAAACACCACATCTACAAGTCTTTTAAATCCCACCAGGGAAGGTGACTCCACCACCTCCCTGGGCAGCCTGTTCCAGTGCTTGAAAGAAGTTTTTCCTCACATCCAATATGAACCTCCCCTGGTGCAACTTGAGGCCATTTCCTCTTGTCCTGTCACTTGGTCCTTGGTTGAACAGACCCACCCCCACCTCTCTACACCCTCCTTTCAAGGACTTGGACAGAGCCAGAAGGTCTCCCCTCAGCCTCCTTTTCTCCAGGCTGAACAACCCCAGCTCCTTCAGCCACTTCTCATAAGACTTGTTCTCCAGCCCCTTCACCAGCTGATAGCAAGATGCCCACTGACAACAACAGGCTGCGTTTTTCATTCTGTGCCTCTGAGAGTGACCTGCTTGTGAAAGGGAAAATCTGTGTCCATCACAAGCAATGGGTCCTCTACAAAGCCTGACCCAACAGTGCTGTTGGCTTCAGGTGGGCCAGGGCTGAGTCCCTGGGGCCTGAGCCCGGCTGGGGGCTGTGCAGGGGACAGGAACTTGGGATAAGAAGAGTCTGTTGGGTAAAGGGAGAAGACCACTATTTGCAAACAGGTAAAAAAAAAGTAAGGTTAAAGGAAAAAGGAAAAGACCTGAACACTATTTCTCAACTGTTTCATTGCCTGCTTATGAAGATCATAGAATGGTTCAGGTTGGAAGGGAGCTTAAAGATCATCTAGTTCCAGCAATGATCATGAAGACAATGGCAAATACCCTACTCACTTCAGCGGGACTCAAGCTTAAACCTTAGATAATTTTAATTGACTTTTAACAGCTAGAGATAATTATGCCACTCATGTAATACACTGTCTGCACATGATTTATGGGTGATATAATTCACTAGTGACAGTTGTGAGCAAACCTCTGAGCGTGTTAACCAGTATAACCCACAGGAAATGGACTTCAGAACCGCACTACAACCGTGTGTTTTTTTGGAGGGGGTGTGCGTGTTCCTTTTGGTGTCGTCACAAAAAAGTTAAACAATCAATCAGATTAAATGCGCAAAGTGAACCCCCTGGAATAATTTGGTTAGAGGTCTGAAAACACTGATCACCTCTGCTAAAGCAGCCACAGAGCATAAATAGATTCTTGCTTACTCAGAAGGGATTTTAGTAATTTTTTTTTTTCCCCCTGGGAATTAAACAATATGTAGTCATTCATCACATTCTAATGATGCTATTTGTAATTTCATGATGACATTAAAATGATTTCTAGATAACTTGGGTCACAGCTTCAATCAGTAAACTAAAGGTGAAGACTTTTAATTACAAAACAATGAAAATATACAAAAAATATTAAAAACTGGAGTATTTTTATTTTTCTACTCTGCTAAATTTAGAACATCTACATCTACACCTTCTAACACTTTTTGCAACAAAATCTTAAAATTAATTTCCCTAAATTATTCAACACATTTCTATCCCCTGTGACTGCTGGAAACCTTTTAATGTCTGGCACATTGGAATTAATTTCAAAATGAAAAAATATCTAAATGCTGTTTATGATGGGATTTCTTCTAAGAATGTTTCTCCACGGAACACTTCAAGAGGCAATAAAACAGAAGACTGACACCCATTTCTCAGCAACAATTTCTTGTGCGTTGATAGTCTCAAGAGGCCTTTGTTTCTCAGCATTGCAATTGTTTCCTGAATGTTCCTAAACATTTAAAAACTAACTTGTGTGCAAAACAAAGACATTTGAAATGTTAGCTGGTGTTTCATCTGTCCTTCCATTTACCCTACAGATTAAAAATACAAAGACAGGGATTAATCTCATGTCATTCAACTTCATCTCCTTTAAACTTGGTCATCTAGACTAAACTAGGTAGCTTGATTGAAGAGGAAACCTCTGAAGAAAGCTACACATCTAGAAAGGTGAGTTAATGCATATTAATGTAAATTAAACAAAAAGAGGCAAAGGGGCAGAAGATGGCAACTTTCTGCAGCAGTGCCATTAACAAGTGGCCACCTTGAGAGCTTCCTGACCATTAAAAGAGTTAAGAGAGAGCAGTAACAAACTGATCATCCATCACTGTGCAGCTCTGATAGTTAGCTGAGTTGACTTCAGATAATTTACAAGTCAATATAATATTAGCCTTGGAGATACGTGGAAGACTTTCATCTGCTCTTCAGCTGTGTGTGTGTGGAGAACATGCTTTTATTTAATTGGGAGAAA